GGACCGTAATCAACTGAAACTCATTAACTATGGGTGTCACACCCTAATTTTTGACGCTAAGATCTCATGACTTTTTGCATCATCTGTATAGGGCATCATGTATCGCATCTTGCATAATACTCAATTTATCAATTTATCAGCTAAAATAAACTTGTTGGATTTACAGTCGAAATGGTCAAACCAAAAGTCAATTGCGCGTAAAATCGGTGGACGGAAAATTTTAAAATCGAGCTTGCAAACGTCAGTGATATTAATCTACATTTCGCGTAGTTTAACTTGGCGTGCTCATTTAAATTTTTCGACCACTTTAGCGGATAAAATTTATTGCAAAATTTGACCAAACGTTGTATATTCTCGAATCGTATATTCCGCGCTAATCATTTTGGTATTTTCATTTTATTTTTTTGAGCACTTCGATACCGGTCCAACTATTCATCTTTACTGATTTAATTTTTATTTTTTAAATTAATAATTATTATTTTATTAATTTTTTTAATTTAACTTTTATTTAATAATTAATTTTATTTTTTAATTTATTTATCTTTTTATAATATTGGATATTTGTTTCTTACCTTTATTTTTGACAAAACGTAATGTCTAAGTTTTAAAAAAAAGGACACTTCTCCTTTCATGTTTTCTATCCATCTCCTGCTACTCTCTAACATACGCCTCTATTCAGGGGCGGTTCTTGGGCCCGGCCAGGCTGGTCACATGCCCAGGCTCTGGGGGGGCCAATATTTTTTTTCAGTTGTTTAAAAATATAAAGGGTGGTGTGTGCAGCATCATGGGGACTGACAGAATCACGCAAGCTTCCAAATTGAAGATAAGATCTTTCCTTCTTCTTTATTTCGCCGGCTCCGGATCGTAGTACTACTGGTAGGAACTATTTTCTAAGCATTAGCTAGCGATTTTGGCAACCACACCAACACAACCGATAGAAAGGAAAAGAAATCAATTTCATTTCAGCAGTGAATAGGTTGAGGTAATGGCACTAACCCATTAACACATTGACTGAATGTTTACATTTTTCCAATTCCCTTCAATTCCATTACAGAAAACATCAAAATAGCTGCACTCACAAGGTGTTTGTGAAAATGTCTCAGTGAGGATAATTCCTATATTGGAAGATTTATTGTAAATTTTTACTTTATAACTTAATTAATATAATTTTATTCATTTTATTTTAGCTTGAATGATGAATATTTTGTTAAAGCACTACTTTGTCAAGAGTCAAGTTAGCCTTTTTCATTGAGTTTATTTTATAAAGATTTATCATCAACGGCTTATTGTTGAAAAAATTGGGTTCTGATTTTCACTACTCGTTCACTTAGATTCTAAGGTCTAGGTGTTTGTTGGGTTTCATTTTGTATTGCCTTTTCAAAAGATGGTTTTTTTGGGGGGTTAAAAAACATGTTATGTTATTGTCTTGGTGTAGGTATAAAATCAACTGTGTTTGGTGACAACAATTGAATAGCAATTTGCTATGTATTATTTTGGAAGTCATTAGGCTTGTTGATCTATCTTGATGGATTGATTTGCAACATTTTGAATGATTGTCTACACAAGAACTCCTACCGCACGTTCAATTTATGAAAGTATGCAGAAGACAATTATAATTTGTAGATGTTAATGTGCCTTTATTATTATTTATTTTTATATACAATAGTATAGTTTTTATTGTGTATTATTTATTTGTTAAATAGTAATGATTTTAGTATTTTATCGCTTGTGGATTGATGGTTTTTTTGTATGAAATATTGACTCCACTAGTCAACACATTTGGATCTGTCCATTTGTCTGGATTATGAACTTATGAACTTAATTTTGCTTAATTTTACTTATGAACTTATGAACTTATGAACTTTTGAACTTTTGAGAGTGAAGGAGTTTTTTGAGAGTGAATGGTTTTTGTGTGCGTGTGAGTATTTACTGAATGGGTTATGAACTTATGATTTTATGCTTGGGTGCAGGTTTTTCTTAATTTTGTTTGGATTTTTTCCAGAGATGAGGAGATTTTTGGTTGAGTCAGAACCAGAACCACCTCCGCCTAATGTGGTTAATGAGTTTAACCCAAATGAGATTGTGCGTGATCCAGGTCGTAGGAAACAAATTAATGAGTATGCTCCGGATATTCAAGATCAAGTGAGGAGGGCATATATACTGAAAGGTCCAATGCAACCAGAATTGCCAAGCTTTCCTCGTACTCCATTTGAAAGTGTTAAAAGAGCATTTAGTAAATCATGGTATAAGAATTATACATGGTTAGAATACAGTGAGATCAAGGATCCAGCTTATTGTTTTTATTCCTTTCTCTTTAAGAAACCCGAGAGGGCCGAGCACTTTGGTTTTGAAGTCTTCACTAAAAGCGGATATAAAGATTGGAAGCATGCATCTCAAGACTTGAAAGATCATGTTGGTAGTCATAATAGTTTTCACAACTCATGTGTCAAGCACTACGATGATTACAATAATCAAAGACAAAGTGTGGCAAGTAAGCTTGTTAAAGCAACCAAGGAATCAAAAGAATTGTATAAGATTCGTTTAACTTGTTCTGTAGATTGTTCAAGATATCTCATTGCACAAGGCGTGTCTTTCCGTGGCCATGATGAATCCTCTATTTCTCTAAATAAGGGCAATTTTAGAGAGATGGTAGATTGAGTAAAATTAAGAATGAACAAGTGCAAGATGCTTTTGACCGTGGTGGAAAAAATTGTACAATGATTTCCGGTGACATTCAAAAGGAGCTTGCAATGTGTTGTGCACATGAAGTTACTAAGGTGATTTTGGGAGAGCTTGGTGATAGACAATTCTCCGTGCTTATTGATGAGTCGCGTGATATATCCGCAAAGAGCAAATGATGGTGATGTTGAGGTTAGTAGTTGTATTTTCCAATTTCTAATTTTCATTACCTATAATTCTTTATGCTGCAAAGTAAACTTGTCGAATTTGTTTTAGGTTTGTGAACGACAAAGGGAATGTTGTGGAACGATTTATTACTCTACATCATGTCAAAGATACGACATCTGAGTCATTAAAGGATGCTCTTTGTGGTATTCTTGATAAGTACACGTTATCTATTTCAAGTATACGAGGCCAAGGATATGATGGAGCTTCAAATATGAGAAGTGAATTTAATGGTTTGCAAAGAAAGATTCTAGATGAAAACCCTTATGCTTTCTATGTCCATTGTTATGCTCACCGTTTGCAATTGGTTGTTGTGTTTGTTGCTAGTAGTTGCTCATCTATTCATGATTTCTTTGAGTACATCTCCTTGATTGTGACCACAACAAGTGCATCTTGTAAGAGGAGGGATGCTTTGACGGAGGCACAACACCAAGATATTTTAAATAAACTTGAGAGTGGTGAGATATTTAGAGGAGGGGGCTTGCACCAATCATCTAGTCTCATTAGACCCGGGGATACTAGATGGGGTTCACATCATACTACATTGCTTCGTTTGGATCAAATGTGGTCCTCCGTGTTAAATGTGCTTAGTATGGTTGATGAAGATGGACGTGGACCATCTCAAGCAGTAGGTTTGATAGAAAAAATGGAGAGCTTTAAATTTGCTTTTATTTTGAAGTTAATGTTAAAGTTGTTTGGTATTACAAACGAGCTTTCACATTTCTTGCAAAGAAAAGATCTTAATATTGTGATTGCCATGGAATTAGTTGATGTTGTCAAAGCTCGGTTGGCCACAATGAGAGATAGTGGTTGGGATGATTTATTTGCTGATGTCCAAGAATTTTGTGTTGCTAAAGGTATTCCGGTGCCAAATATGGATGACGAAATACCGGTTCGGGGTCGTTCAAGGGTGGAAGGAAGAACTATCACTAATCTTCATCATTACCATACCGAGATTTTTTATGTTGCTATTGACAAAATATGTGTGGAGATAGATCACCGCTTTAGTGAAGGAAGTAACATTATCCTTGATTGCTTCTCATGTCTTGATCCCAAGAACTCTTTCTCCAAGTTTGATGTTGATAAGCTTGCTTGTCTTGCTGATATTTATCATGTAGACTTTTCTGATGATGACCGTGGAACAATAAGGGATCAACTTGACACTTATGTTCTTCAAGTGAAAAGAAATGCTTCATTTTCCACTTGTGAAGATGTTCAAAGTTTGGCTATAAAGATGGTTCAAACTAAGAAACATTTGGTATTTCCATTGATTTACAAACTTATTGAGTTAGCTTTGATATTGTCAGTGTCGACAACATCCAACATCCGTTGAAAGAGCATTTTCAGCAATGAAGATTATCAAGTATAAATTGCGTAATAAGATCAACGATGTGTGGTATGACTTGATGGTATGTTACACCGAGCGGGAGATATTCAAGTCACTTGATGATGTTGATATTATTTGAACATTCACAGCAAAGTCTCGAAAAGGACATTTGTCTGGTAATTTTATTTAACATGCTATTGTAAGATTATGTTTCATCTCTTTTATTTTAAATTATATTTTTGTTAACAAAATGACGAGTCTCATTCATTTTTATTGATAGTTGTTTATATATTATATGCAATGTAAATTTACAGTTTTAAATTTGTGCTCACTGCCCAGGCTTTATAATTTGAAGCCACTCCACTAGGAACCTAATGAATCATACAGAGGTTATTATCTTCCACAGCTAGTGGACAAACTATGATAGCTTCATCAGTCTTGCAACATGGACTTACTTTCAACACAACTCAATTTGGTAGGGTAGTTTTATAAACATATCATTATCCGAAGTGACAAAAAACATTCTCTAACAAGGTTACTAACCAAACGTTTTCTTTTATCACCATCCAATAGAATCTACTTATATAATTGGGAGGGGAGGGGGCAAGACAACAGTACAAACTAGCACAATAGTGGCACTAAACTAACCTACACTTCTACATAGACTGCTACAAATAATTAGGAGACTAACACAAACTTTTAAATAGAGGAGCCATCCAAAATGATGATGACGGAGAAAACCAGCAAGTAGTAGAGTAGACATCGACCTCTAGTTTCTTGCTCGTTTCTTTCCGCTCTTGACCACACTTCCAGCTTTCAATGAACTAGGTGTCTTGACCTTCATATCTTCAACCTCTTTCGTTGAGTCTTCAGAGTTCTCATTTTCTGAATCTTCTGTCAGCATCAAATCAAAATTCACCTTGCCAGTACTTTTGGTGTGTTTTGGCTTGGAGGAAGATGCAATCTTAGATGTTCCGTGCTTAGATTTTCCAGTTTTCACTGTTATTTGCTTAGAATTGGCAGAAGGCATTGGGGTGTCATCATCATCATCTTCTACAGTCTTATTTGTTCCTTGCTTGGATTTTCCAGTTTTCACAGTTTCTTGCTTAGAATTAGTGGAAGGCTTTAGTGTGTCAACATCATCATCTTTGGATTTCTTTATCTTGGAACCAGAAGGCTTTGGTGTGTCAACATCATCATCTTTGTATTTCTTTATCTTGGAACCATCTGTCTTCTTGGAATTGTTCTTTTGTGTAGAATCAATAGACTTACCTCCACTTTTCACAGAACGTTCATCAGATTGACCACCACTTTTCACAGATCGATCCTCAAATTTACCACCAGTTTTTTGTGCAGAATCCTTAGATTTTTTAGTAACTTCGCCGTCAGACTTGCCAACAGTCTTGGATTTTTGGGTAGACTTGATGGATGGCGTCTTTGATTTACTTGATGATGCTCTTCCACTATTAGAAAGTACAGTAAAAAGTTGATAACTTGAAAGAAGAATAAAAAAGACATTATTCCATAATATTCACTAACCTTTTAGAAGAAGAGTCCTTCTTTCCTTCCTTTTTTGATTCACCAGCATTTGTTTTCCCTTTCTTTTTAAGGGGCCTAAATATAAGTGAAGAAACAAATGGATATGAATGGACGAACCCAAAAACTAAAGGCAAAAGCTCAGCAAGAAAACACAATCACCAATTGAAACAATATATTGACCGTATCTGATTCAAGCTTTTATGAGAGGAAACATAAATCCAAACCCAATACACTCCACTACTTAATTAATCTTTAAAATATTTCTGCAATATTATAGCATACAGTGCAACACCCTTTTGGACAGGCAAAATGAAATCATTTTTAGAAGATTAGTTCAGAAATATGCCACAGAATAAATCACATGAAGGATTCTTGTTTTCCAATTCAACACAAGGCATGGGCAAATCATCATTCAGAACAAATATTTGTAAATATTGTAGAAATACATCAAAACAATGTGCTAACCAGCATAAACAATAAAATAAACAAAACAACCAGATATCAGACAAGGGATGCAACTATGAACACAAGAGGGAAATGCTGTCTTAGATGAAATACAAACATCGATGCAAAATAATTTGAAGACGATTTTTCTAAAAATATAGCAAAAAGGACATCTAAAATAAATAAATAGTAATAATAATAATAATAATAATAACAACAGAACATACATATCAATCGAAGGATCAGGATTTGCTTGATGACTTCCTTCTTCCTGCTAAGACAAAAAAAATTGCCATTATTATTGACGCAGAAAGAGATTTAACATGTGAAATCCAAAGGAAAGGAACCCACCACATCTGGATCAGCATCAGCTTCAACAATCTCCCATTTCTCCTCTTCGAGATTCAATATTTCCTCATCACCATCATCATATAAGACCTAAAACAGAGAGACATGATAATTTAAAAAAAAAAAATATATATATATATATATATATATATATATATATATATATATATATATATATATATATATATATATATATATATATATATATATATATATATATATATATATATATATATATATATTAAGATAGAAGGGCTTATTTATCTTGAACAGTGTTTTTTTGTTTCCATTTTAATCTCGTCTTTAATTTTCCACAAACAAACAAAAAAACATACTTTCAATACAGATTAAAGGCTGGTTGTGGTTTAAGAGGGGGGAAATTATGTTTTCTAAACAATTTTGAAGAAATAAGACAGTGAAAACAAGGGCATGATTGGCCTAAATTTCCATTTTATATTACAATTTTGGTTACAAAATGCCACATTATTTTCATTTTATTACCTGTTTCCAAGTTATGTTCAAGGAAAAAGCGAAAATTGAAAAGAAAAAAAATTGTGGCTTTCACCATTTCTATTACAAAAGTAGAAAACAAAAATTGAAATGAAAACAAACAAATGAGGTGACATTATTATAACTAAAACTAACTATATGTTTTCCGAAACCAAATCAGACTTTAAAACTATTCTTTTACAATTAAAAGTTGATCATCATGACCAATCAGACTCTAAAATTATTCTTTTGCAATTAAAAGTTTATCACATGTGAAATAGAAAATATTTTAGCATAATAAAGGCAGCAACTTACTTTTCAAATGGATAAATCTATATTATAACAAAACAGAAGTAGAAAAGTTTTACTGAATTAAATTGGAGAGGAACAGCAGGGTAAAAAGAAGGTAATTTAGCTGCCAAATCACCTTGTGCTTCTTAATGGAAGAATCAAAAGAATCAACAACACCTTCATAAAACCTGCAGAAGATTGTGTTGTCAAATTTATTATACCACAATTTTCCCATGGAGATGAACAGTGTCAAGATGGAGTATGAATATCAACACCAAGACAAGAAGAAAAAGAAAAGCATAACCCTTAGTTTATTTATTAGATGTATCTCCCTAGCCCCATCATTCCATTTTATACACAAAATTTTATCGATAGCAACATTATCACAGTTTATTTAATGGAATATGGTGTCACTACAATAAGGATTTGACAGCTAATATAAGTAGTAGTTAAAACAAGAGACAAACAAATTAAGCCAGAAAATAAATTCATGAGCTCAAAGCATTGAACCTGATATATCACTATTGCCAACATGAAATAATTGCTAGTTGCTACAACAAAGATAACAGATAATTTTAAAAATTAGATGCTCGGAACACTTAATAATACACAACTAAAGACATTTATTATCAACACCCAAAAGCCAAAGCTAAAACTAAGGACAAAATCCTCATTAATCCAGCCTTAGCTTGGCCCAAAACGCCTGAAATAGAGACTGAAACAGAAGGACAGAGGAAAAGACAGGAGCAGGCAGCTATGTCAAAGAAATGAAGACCACTAGGAGCTTCCTAAAAACACTGAAAAAAAGGTGCACATCGCTCAGTAGTATTTCCCAAAACAGAGTACTGCTGGAAATCGGCCAAACAAGGTCAGCCATACAACCCTATGCAACAGCAAACAACTGTAATGGTGTCAGACTTCTTATAATGGCAGCTATGGGCAGTTTTGGAATGATATTGTGAGTTAAATTGTTTAATTTTAGGAATACATAGAGAAAGGAAAGGAGAAACTGATTATGTAGTTAGTTGTTGAGTGGTTTTGGATGGGAAAGCCAAGCTCTAAAATTCTTCGAAGGAAGAGAGACCGGGACTCCAGAATTTCTTGGATATAAATTGCTTTAAACTTTCCATGATGTAGTGGTGTGTTAATTCTGTACTAATAATATAAACTGCTATTCTAGACAAATTCTGCAGAGAACTGTTCTACCATTTATGTTTTCTTTTCTTTAATTCATTCACTATAGGTACCAGTTTCTATCAAATGGGTCGGTCTGCACATTCTAACTGCATAGTGTGAACTCTGTCACTAGGGTCGGTGTATGCACATGAAAGAATGGACTGGGGCCTGACACCAAGAAAGGAACACTAAATGCAATGGGTCTAGGAAACATAGAAATCATTTAGGGAGTTTAAGAGGATGAGAAATTGTGGGCAAGGACATGAAATATCAATCTAGGAGGATAGCAAATGCTTTGCTCACGAAATGCTAAAAAAACCTGAATGAATTAACCAATCTCACATGCCCCTACTTATTTATATAACTAATATCTTGTAACTTACTAACTTCTCTGTCCTCTACAGTCTTGAGAGAAATAAAATGACGATCTGTTTGGCACACAAAGCAACAATCATCAAGACTTGAGGTGAAAAGATAATTCAACCTCATATACCAATGAAACAAATAGACTGCTTCAATCAAGCATGAAAAAGTACAAACTACAAATGCCGAACAACATACAACACTCCCAGAGTCCCAGTCCCAGTCCCAATCCCTGACCCTGCCAACTAAAATTTCCAGTCACAGCATGTCACAAATGAAGAATCACCGTGTACTTACATATCATCATCTGGCCACCAAACTTTAACCCGCTTTCCAATAAGTTTTTCATCATTTTTCTTGATATCAAGCACCTGAGACAACAGTCAGAAGATCAGCAATCAAACTGAGAAGAAAAATAAAAACAGAGTAAATAACCAGAAATAATGAGGAACAATATAGAAAAATACAGCTCGCATTTAAAAATAAGGGAGCCCGCATGAACTTGAAACTGATTACTTCCTTTGCTAAGGACATTGATCAGTATTATTTCACCAAATCAGTATTCCATTAAAAAATACTCTGCAAAATATTTGATCACACTGCAAAAATCCAACACAAAAACATACAACTGCAAAAGGACCATTCCAAACCAAAACCGCAAAATGATTCAATCATGGGTTTTATCATTAAAATTTTAACATAACAGAACAGGGTTCACACTTTTTCTTTTCCTGGAGTGCGCTTCCTTTTCAAATTTGTCTTGGGAGTATCCTCTGAATGTTCATCTTTGGTTGTTTTTGTAGCTGACTTAAGTGAAGATACCATTACCTAAAACATTAGCAAAATTAGTCAATAATTTACTTTTGGATTAAAAAAATACCATGTTTCAGTTATATGAATGAATGATCGCAGAGAAATGTCCGAACAACAGGCACAAAAGTACCTTATCTTCATCTTTAGAGGAAGGTTTTGCTAAACCCTTTTCAGAACTGCCTTTCACCTGTCCCTTCTTTTTCTTATCCTCCGACTTCCGCGAAGATGACCCACCATCAACCTTGGTTCTTTCTTCTGTTTTTCCACTACCCTTTTTCTTGTCCTCTGGCTTCCGCGAAGATGACCCACCATCGCCCTTGGTTTTTTCTTCTGATTTTCCACTACCCTTTTTAACTGCATCAACAACAGTAGATGCTTTCACATCAGAGCTACGACCGAGTCCCTTCTTTGCTGATGGTCTTGCTGATTTTACTTCAGAATCACATGTTCCTTCAGACACCTTTTTCGAAATATGTCCTGCAGTCACGTCTATCACAGAGCTACCTTTCTTTTTTGTTCGTACACGTTTCTTAGAACGATTCTCATCATGATTGCTCTCACTTGGTGAATGAGAAATAATAGCATCAGATTCGATGTCACCTACTTTCGGAGATGAAATTGTAGTTTTAATCTCTTTGTCATTCTCTGACGTTCCTGTAGCCTCAACAACACTGTCATCGTTAAGAGAACTAGGAACTTCTTTGCTGGGACTTTTAGAGTCAAATGTTTTCTCAGCTTCCTTCTCACTAACCACATTTGATCTCTTAGCAGGCTTGGCGGGTTTTGAAGAGCTGGTTTTCTTTCCTTTCCTCTTGATACTGCGCTCCAGCTTGTGTTCTTTACTGTCGATTATTTCAGTGTCCAAATCATTGCGTTCCTCATTAACTGACAAATTATTACCTTTGGACAGACCGGGAGAGTCAGTACCATCCTGCTTCTTAAGAGGCTTTGATTCTACTAAAGTATCATCTTCTCCAGCCTGTGCAATGCCATTGCTCATGACAGACTTAGGAGACCTGTCCCCATCAGCATCATTATCTTGTTGTGGTGGTGTGGCTTCTTTTGTAATCTCGCTATCCACCTGATCAACAAAAAATTACATGTTACAGTATACCAAAAGCAGAAGGGTAAGCAACAGAACAGACAAATGAAAAAAAAACATATGGAAAGAACAAACACACCTGTGCCGATTCCTCCACAGGCTCTTCAGCTGATTTGCAATCATGAACCTGAAACAAAAACAAACTAAATCATAAATTATCTCATGAAGAACACTTTTAACGCCAACCAAACATTCATAAACATTAAAACGCAAAAATTCACATGACCACTAGCAGCACATACATCATTTTGCATTGAGTTATCAGATGAATCATTGCATATTAAGGCAAGAACACCACTGTAATCATCCAAAGAAATACTCAAGGTATTCACAGCTTGCACTAAATAGGGTTTGAGTCTTGCTGCACAACTTTCAAGAACTCTTTCCCCCAACTTTCGAGCAATTGGCAAAACTTCCTGATTCATAATGACAGCAACCATGACAATTATAAGAAAGTCATAATGAAATATGTTTCAGTTTCACAATCACGATTTACTGAAAATAATGAAACTCAAATTCCAAACTCCAACCTCATTGTCTTTCTTCACACTCTCTAAGATTGGAGAGAGTAGATCAAGAGATATATCTTCACTTTCCTCAAGACAGAGGATCATTATGGTTTCCATGGACGAGAAAACATTATCAGGAAGATATGCCCTGAAAAGTTTCAAACAGTGCTGCTTAGAACCATGTTCACACATTTCGCATCCAACTAGTTCAGCTAGGTACAGAAACAAGAAACACACTGCAACTACAATTACTGCGCATAGTAATAATTTCCTATTAAATTCAAACCATAATCAAATTCATTTCATCTAATCTGGCATATTAGTGTGAAGTATGTCATAGAATGAAGTATTTAATCAATGTTGAAATAAACTAGCTGCCTCTACTATTATATTTTTCACCATGCAAAGAATACGATGACTAAAGCACCTATCCATCAAAAGAAAGTATAGCATACAACAGGAGTAGCATTTGTTAGTTAATACTTAGAACCAATAATGATATTGGCCATTGAAATTCAGAACTAAATGGAATACCAATCCTTCCTCCATTCAGTCAAAAGCAAATTTTCAATACAAAAATCTTAAGGTTATATCATGTATGAGGTTAAACAACTGTTATTTGAGTAGTTGCCCAAGTTCCACATTTCCTAGAGATATAAGCCTAAATCAGGTTTACAAAGCTTGGGTAATCCTCCCTATACAAGTCCATTTTGTGGGATCAAGTTTGGCCTAAAAGTCTAATAAATGTAACAAAAAAAAACATTCAGAAACTATATAGCCAGCCCTTGAATACAACAGCTCTTACCTTATTGTCTTCAAGAAATGCTGAAACATCTCCAAAATGAGTGCATCACATTCAAGGTCCAGCATTACCACACATGACCTGACCTTTGCAACAGTTTCAAGGATTAAAGTCCTCTTCGAGTGCCATCGGCTTGATTTATCATGCAGATTTTCAAATGAAGATACAATTAATCTAAAGACCTCCTGAAATAAAATGACACCATAAACCCGATAGATATGATTTGTTAAGAACAAGACAATACAATAGAATTCAATTAATTTACAATAGAAAATAATCAAGTGCACCTTCATTTGATCATCATCATAAGGAGCGTCAGGTGCGGTGATTCTTGTTATCTCGCTGAAGCAGGAGGCAAGTGCAACTTTGACATCATCATCTGAATGCTTTATAAGATCATCAGCAATCAATGCTTTCAATGCTGGAGAGAGTGCATTATGCATAGATTCAGAAGGTGACTGCTCAACCTTTGAAAGGCATTTTTCAATTTGCTGCAGTTCCAAGAAAGAATCGCAAAATCAAGCACATGTGATTAATATTTGTCTGCCATTGTCTTAACTTCTACAAGATGGGAAATTAATTAATACTATGCTATAATACAACAGTGACTAGTTGACAAGGAAACTCAGCGGCGGCTATAGCGTGGCGGAATTTGAACAAACCCCTATTGTTCCACGATATGCAATTTAGTACAAAGTCTCTTCAAAGAGCGCCGTAGCATAACGAAATTGGAACAAACCACTATTTGACGCAATCCTCGTTAAGAAATGTGTTTTGACTCTTCGAATATTTTGTTAAAATTAACCCCAAAAACAAATATACAGTATTAACATCTTAGGATAACAAAAGCACATAGAGAGCAACTAACAAAATATTCAAACCCAGCATCCCAGACTCGAGTAACTATCGAAATAGAAATTCATAAAAAACATAATCCATAAATAAATTCAATGAGTGGAACACAGTTAGGTATAAGTTAAAAGTTATTCTTTTCCTGTAATATACTGCTCGAGGAGAACTTTAACAAAAACTAGTATATAATGAGACTATGTGATTCTTTGCAATGTTGCTGATATCCATATCCTATCTAGGATCGATGCACCTATACATATTTGTATATGTTGATTATAAGTTTTCCTGACACTGATATTATTGTTTAATATATTGTTTATTTCAATTATAATCTTATCTTCTTTATTTAAATAAAATCTGCAAAAAAATTATATGCTAAGTAGATGGGTCATATGTGCCTATTTTAATGAAGCTCATGGTGCCCACCCGTGGAAACAATGTGCCGACGCGGCACTTGTCTTCGGTACAGAGCAACAGAGCCACAATTGCACTTGCATACCACTCTCTCTTATTCTACTTCATCACCACTTTGTAGTGTAGGTTTTCAAGAAACAGAGCAAAGAAAAGCAACAGGAGATTGGATTTTTCAGAAACCACAACTTACTGACTGGGAAATTGTTGGTTATGAAAAGGCAAAGGTCCTCAGGACTCTCCATCAGTTTTAGGGGACCCAGGACTCGCATCCCAGCAAATCATTTATTTGGGATTGAAATTGTTAAACAAATCTCGAGATCTTACACAGGATCTCAGCAAACTGCGAAATTGTGTGTGAATCTGTGATACAACGATCCAACTCGTTTAGGGGTGGCAAAATCATAATAGTGTGCAATATTACAATTTAGATTGATATTTGGCGGAAATTGATATATATGAACATGCTATCACAGCTGTATCATATGGCACCGGCCACAAGAGGTAAGCATTTTGAAACATTATGTTTTACCTTTTACATCGAACAACTAATTCACATAGCATGACGCTACAATAGTCAAACTTGCACGTCATAAATTCAAAGATATTGTCATCAATTCAAAGATATCTACACAACATCAAATTATCCACACCAAGAATATGTATTCAACAACATGTTGATTAAAAATATAATTGGTACCGTGTTTTCCCTTTTAAATAGATAATTAGGTAGGATGAGTAGATTAGTATATTCGTAAATTTTACGGTACTTTAAATTAATAACAAACATAACTAAATTAAACATGCTATGAGATTTTATAGCCCAAATATTTAATATTTTTATATATCTTTGTTTTATTTTGCTTACAAAAAATAGCTGACGTCCTACATTCCTTTATCACTCTATCCCGTGACATACGCCTAGTACAGCCCATTACTAGATATACTGTAGGTTTCCGTTTGTTTTTTCGAATAGAAAAAGGGGGGAAACTAAATGAACATGATATCAGCGCCGTTCTACATTCCATTAACACACGTTAATAACAAGTCGTTACTCCCAGAAATAAACCTAATATAGCGTATGCCCAGATTTACTGTGGGGTTCTGTTTGTTTATTCTAATGGAAAAGGGGTAAAACTGAATGAACTCATACAATTCAGCTTTTCTCCACTTATACTACATGAAGGAAAGTGCCCTTGCCAGTAGAATTCGAACCCCAAAGTAATTTTGAAATTAGAAGGCTTATTAATAATCCCAATCAAACATCACTAGTCACCCCAGGGTTTTAAAAAACGGTCAAATGGCTTTTGAGATAACCGTCGGTAAAGGTGTTGTGACACTGATTGCGGTTGTTGCTAAGTGAATTAACCAAAATTTGTTCTTTAACATGAAAACGGTGATCACTATATCAATCAGCATCGGTCAATATCGTTTTGTCGCGGTGGTTACAGGGTGGACCGTTTTTTAAAACACTGAGTCACCCTATTCAAAAAAATGAGGCAAAGGAGAAAGTACCCTAACAAATCTACTATCGAAATCTCAAAACATAATGAATTTGTTTCATTCACAAATTGATTTCTGTAAGAGACTAGTTTGATTCAATTTAACCTAACAATCTAACTCACTTAAAAAACATTTTCTACATCCAAAAATTTGAGAATTTTCTCAAAATAATAAAAAAAATGTTTTCAAATTTCCCAACCCTAAACAGTTAAACAATGTTGACAAACCATTAACAAATAGCAACAAGTAGGTGAAACATATTCCAAAATCTCAAATATTCTCCAATGATACAAGGAACAAATTCAATTAGGGCAAAAACGAAACCGCATACAACATGCAAGATTGATTCACAAAACCCTAGCAAAAAAGCTCCATGAACGAAAAAGACAAAACAAAAAACGCAAAAATAAGAGCGAGAAAAAAAAACTCGTAAAAATCTCACGAATTTAAATAAATGAAAAGAAAAAAAACGGAGTGTGCTTACGATTAAAACAGTTATTAAATCGTCGACGGAAGAAGGAGGATCTAGAAGCTTTTCACCCGCTTCTAAAAGCTCTTCTTCAAGTTCCTTATCGACGGAAGTCATTTTCGAAGTTCCGCTTCTCGCAGATCTTGTGATTACAGAGAGAGTGAAGTTTGATTCGGAAAAAATTTTCGGCACCAAAATGTGAAAATAAAATCAATTTAACCGTGTTTTTATATTATTATTATTATTGTTGTTATTATTACTTGTTTAGAAGTATTTAATTTTTTTTATTATTTTGTTATTTTTAATTTGTGTACTTAAAGGGAAATGGATCTCGCGGGTTTTGTGAATTTGATTTAAGTTTTGTTTTTCGAATCCGCTATTTGGGTATTTCGGTTTTTGCGGAAATGGAGCGGGGTCCACGTGGCTTTCTTTCAACTTTATTGTGATTCCATGACGAAGAAACTTTTTTTTTATTCTAGTTTTGGTTTCTTTTTAGTGCATTTTAGGTTTAACGTGACTTTAGAAAATTCACCTTTAATTTTAGTAAAAAAAGTTATACTTGTTATGATGATGGAAGAAAAATATACAGATGTGATCGTGTGGTGACGCATATCCGTTTATTTTACGCGTACGGGAAAATACAAATAAATAGAATACAAGTTAAACTTTTTTATATACAATACAAGTGAAGTTAATATTTTTGTTTAAAGGCGAGAGAATGCGTTTAATCGTGATCGGATGTATGGTTGAGATGCAATATCATGGCTGAGCAAGTTGTTGCTTTTTTTAGCACAAAAAGTAACCTTTAAAAAATTACATTGTGATTATTTTGTTTATGAATGAATGGATATTGCGGGTTGGAATTTCAGCACTCATAGCTAATTTACTTGCATTTATTGTATTTATTTAAAAAATTTATATCATTTTATATTTATTAATTATTTAAAAAATTTAATTATATTTTTTTATACTACTCATCTAAAACTCTAAAATAAATCTTAAATATACCATTTATTTAATTTTATATATTATTTTATTAATTTGATTCAATAAAATAATTTTTTTTTATAGTCAATGTGGTTATTAGCAAGTCAAAAAGTCAGAAAACTTTATTAAATGAATGATTGTGTTTTAAAATAGTAATTTTATTAAGGGCATGCTCGTTCCGTCCTTGGTGGTGCCTCTCGATCCTTGAATGTTTGAAAGTGTCCTTCAAGTGTCTGAAGATACATCTTTGAACGCACCTAAATCGCAATTAAAATGCGTTATTATGAGAGCAACCATGTTTTTTTGACTAAAATGTGGTCCAAATATGTATCTTTGTATGGGTATTTGGTGTATTCGAAGATACATCTTCGTAATGTCTGATCCGCTGTCACGCGGGTCAAAACGAGTCAATAAAAACTGTAGTTTTGGGAAGCAACACTCGATCCGTATCGCAACAGAATATGGAGAAGCAGATCTCATCGAGAACCGCCACGCTTTTGCAACAGAATATGGAGAAACCTTCTGTTTTCTCGAGCTCAAGATGAAAGAAGGGTTATTGGAGACTCTTGTTCAGTTCTATGATCCGCTGTACCATTGTTTTACCTTTCCGGATTACCAGCTGATGTCGACCCTGGAAGAGTATTCTAATTTCTTGAAGATACCTATGACTGCCCGACCTATATTCACCGGCCAAGAAGACGTACCTAGTCACCAAGAAATTGCAAACGCCACTCATCTCAGCCTAGCAGATGTTCAAGCGCACTTAATCACCAAGGAAGGAGTCCTTGGATTCCCAGCTGATTTCTTGATTGAAAAAGTCTGTTACCATGTTGAAAGAAAAGAGGTCCTTATCTTTGAAGCTACCTTTGCTTTGTTGGTTTATGGGGTCTTCTGGTTCACAAAGGTTGATGATTTTGTTGATATGGATGCAATTAAATTGTTCATACTCAAGAATCTCGTTTCCACCTTGCTAGCCGACACGTACCATTCAATACACTCGAGGAATGCTGAAGGAGAAGGACAAATTGTTTGTTGTACCGCTTTGTTGTATTCATGGTTTGTTGCTCGCCTAACTTGACATTCGTCTATTTGGGATGAGGTAGAATCACCTCATTGGTCCGAGATAGTTATGGCCCTTACTCACTCTGACATTGTGTGGTATGACCCTACTTATGGAGGTATATGTATGATTCCTAGTATCGGAGGATTTACTAACATACCGCTTATTGGGAGAGAAGAATGCATAAGTTACAACCCCGCCTTAGCCCGCAGACAATTTGGGCATCCCATGATTGAAGTACCTGACCAAGCTCTGCTATAAGGGATCTTCCTCAAAGAAGGAGAAGATCCAGACTTGAAGACCGTCATAATTTATGCATGGAGATACGTCAATAAGGAAGGGACGACTGCTTTAGGATACCCCAATTGTGTTGTCTCTGAAGAATATCTACATTGGGTGCGAGAAAGGGCTCTCGATCTCAAGATGCCTTTCCCATTTCATGAACCTATGGTATTGGCTTTTCATGATCCTGATTGGTTTGATGTGAGTGAAGTAAATCAGTTGAAGGCTGCCTTGGATGAGGCTCGGAAATTGAAGACTACTTGGAGGAACAAGTTTTTCACCCTTAAGGTAGAGAAAGAGAAGTCTCAGAAGCTGCCGGAGATAGAATTTGCAAAGAAGAGAAAGGCGCGAGAGGATTTATTTTCTTCTCACACCTCTTCCGGAACTGTCGCCAGAGATGATCTTCCCCCAGCTGTTGTGGCTTGGAAAGAATGTGTCGATCGACTCATCAATGAGAAGGCCGAGTTACAAGAACGTGTCAGCCAGTTAGAAGAAGAACTTCGTGCACAAAAGGAGCATAGGGAGTAGATCTCCGAGTTCTCTTTTGCTTTTGGTTCAATGTAATACACTCTTAAAAGAGTACTTTGCTTTGTAATGCTTCAAATATCAAAATAAAATAAGTTTTTCTCTAACGTTACAATACCGGAAAATAATTTGAGTTTCTTGAAGTTTCATACTCATTTACATTTTTGCATAAGCATAACATTGTTTGCATTCCAGGGTCTCACTCTTGCTTCATCTCCACAGACAAGCTGAATCACCAGTACAACACTCGAGCTAGTCAGCGCCAGAAGATGGATCAACTAGAACAGGAAAACAGAGTACTATGTGATGAAGTTGCAGTTCTGAAAGAAAGTTTGGAGAGGTTGACTGGTCTGGTGGAAGCTTTGTCCAATCAAGTCGCACTCAACAACCAAGATGTTCAAAGAACTGTGATCTCTGAGGGTGACGCCAGCACCGATCCCAGTGGTGTCTTCTGTTGCCGAAGTGACCTACAACATGCCTCAAGGTTTCCCGTTGGGGTTGTCTCCCAATTTCTTTTCAACCGGTTACCGTCTTTCTGTGTCTGAGATCCCTGCTGTAACCGTTGTCCAAGCTACTCCCGTAGTTACTGCTGTGATGACTACTGCATCTCCACATGTGAATGTTGTTTCGTACATTCTGGATGAGCCAATTTTACAAGGGTCGCTGACCGAAATTGTGGGTTTGGAAGAAAGGATGGATGGGTTTCAAGACCAATTTTCTGAGATGCAAAAGGAGTTGAAGGCTCTTTGTGGGAAGGATCTATTTGGAAAGAGCGCTTTTGAGCTGTGCTTGGTCCCAAATGTCAAGGTTCTGCCGAAATTCAAGGTCCCTGATTTTGAGAAGTGCAAGGGGAATACTTGCCCTCAAAGTCATCTTATTATGTATTCCAGGAAGATGTCTGCCCAAACTGATAATGATCAACTACTCATTCACTATTTCCAAGACAGTTTGACAGGCGTTGCGCTCAAGTGGTACATAGGGTTGGATAGTACGAAGATTCGAACTTTCAATGATATAGGGGTGTTGCACCCTAATTTTTGACTCTAAGATCCCGCATCTTTTTGCATCATCTGTATAGTTTATCATCTCTTACATTTTTCATAATACCCAATTTATCAGCTGAAATAAACTTTTTGGACAGTTTAAGCCGTTTTAGCGGGTAAAATTTATTTCAAAATTTGACAAAACGCTGTATTTTTCCGAATCGTATATTTTTTGCTGATCACTTTGGTGTATTCATTTTATTTTTTCGAGTACTTCGATACCGACCCAATTATTCGTTTTTTTTACTGTCTTTATTTCTACATTTAATTAATATATTCTTTTAATCTATCAAATCTTTATTTAGATTTTATTGTAAATATTTTATTCTTTTTATGTTTATCTTTTCCTTATTTTGTGGAACTTTTGAAAAAGTTTTTGATTTTGTAGTAATAATTGAGATTTTGTCCATTTTTTGAGTACTAATACTCCCACAAGCTACTACCTCTAGCATCCAAAATCCCACAAAATCTGGAAAAAAAAAGGGCTAGAAGGACTACTCCATGTACTACCATCATCATTTTCTCTTAAACAACACACTTCATCATAATATCCTACCTAATCTACACATTTTCATCACCACAAAAACACTCCAAACCCTTTTCATAAAACTCCCACCATATCACAAACTTTATCATCTCAAAACCTCATCTTTCACATTCACAAATTCCTCCACCACCATTTAATCTCATGAACCGTCTTTAAACCTCACGACAACATCACTTCAAAAAGGTCAAGAGAGAAGCATAAGAAAAGAGGAGGGAGTCGCACGTAAGGGCTAGTGAGAGAGATAGGAAAACTTTGTTCTCTTTCTCTGTTTACTGTAAGTAACATTTTTTTTACTTTCATTATTTTTTTTTGTTTTGTTTTATATTATATCCTGCTTGTTGTATGTGTATGTTAATGTGTGTTAATATTAATGTGCATTAAAATATATGTGTGTATTGATATGTTGAAATATGGTGTGTGCGCTTATGCATTTCTTCAAGCTTTCAGTTTGTTTATATTGTGTGCGTAACTGTTCCGAATTTGTCTCAATGACAACCATGTGGTTATGTAAATATTATGTTGGTTTTGTGTTGTATGATTATCATGTTATTTTCAATATTACTGCTATCAGTAATGATGCCGGTTCCATCGAAGTTGTTCTTGATCATTTCCAGCAGGTTATGTTCTAACTAGTGGCGGAACAGTGTATCTTGTATGCTCATTTGGTCTATTT